TCTATTTACTGTCGAAAGCGGGATTCCCAAATTCTGCAAAATTGGCTGCTGACTTATTCCACCATCTGCTTGACCAACTATCCTTCCTCTAACAAAATCTGACAATTCGAGAGAACCTTGAGTTCTAGGCATGTTGTAGCACAAGATAATTAGTGTGCGTACCATTTTCATTTATATAGTGCTATGTGAACACAAATTAGTTAGCATAAATCAGTTAAAAGACGAAAAATTAGGTGTCTATTTACTTGTGACCACTCAGTGTAGCTGTTCCAACAATAGAGCTGGGCAATTTCATTGATTAATCAACGCTGTTGATTACCTTTGAACATCGATTACATCAATTAATCAAAATTACAATTTATTAATGTTACAAAAGTAATCAAATAGTTTAAAATTAGGGTTTCCAATTATTTACCAATTTCAATTGTTCCAACAATCAGTTAATGAAAATTACAGTTAAAGTGATTGTCTTGAAAATAATCAGCTAATCAAAATTAGTTACATTTATCACTGTTTTCTATTATTCCTCAATACTACATAATAGGCAGGTGGGGTGTGTGTGTCTCCTTATTTAAGTGTCTTGTGTTAAATCCCAATTGCTTTTAGATTTGCTAGCCTTGTCTGTGTTATTGCAAAGCTATTAAGGCTATCTGCCAATTTCACTAATTTTGAACTGCTGACCAGAGTGAAGGCAACTAGCTAGTAGCAAACTTATTGGCTATTAAAGTGTTAAATAAAATCTTAATTTACTGTTTTTTTGCATTATGTTTCTAACTTATAATTGCATAACTATATTCTTTAACATTAAATTTTTTGCATGTTCTACCAGGATTATTTTCGTGATTTCCTAACAATTATCACCTTTATAAAACATCAATTTTCTTAATTTTGTGGTTAATAACATGGTTGGGATTAGTTTTTGGCCACAAATGTTATCAGACGCTGTCACTGTACAAGAGGTAAATTAGTATATTTGTTCAGATACTGGTAGCTTACACTTGGGTTTAAGGAGTTAATGATGTATAAATATATGGAGATCAGTATTTGTTCTTGAAATTAATAATTGTATTCTTTAATGTTATATAAGTAGGAGAGAGAGGTAGTCTACACCACTCTCCATTTTTAAGGAATTAATAACTATTTTTTTATGTTATATTAGCAGGTGCAGATCTAAGGGAGATTTCCAGGAAAGTCAAACCCCCATCCATTTTTTTCAAAAATTAATAACTATTATTCATTGTTGTAGATGTAGATCTAGGGTAAGGGGTCAAATCCCCACCCTTCCACCTTTTTTTTTCTTCCAGGAATTAATAACCGTATTATTTAATGTTGTATGAGTAGGCAGAAATCATGGAAGTGCAAACCCCAGCCATTTTGTTTTCAGAAATTAATAGAAAAAGCAGCCAAGCATCCTCACACTATCATATGTTATCAAAAATGAAATATTAGATGTCAGTGTTTTTATTTGATAGAGCTATTAATTATCATGGAAGCTTTTTTCAGGTTTTCTGAAGTCAACACAGTTGAAGTGTAAAGCAATCCATATGGTCTCAGCCAGTATTATTTCTAAATGAATACAACAATATGAACATCAATTAAAAGTTTCCATGGTAAATTTTTGCCCCTTGGCTTTCTTCAGACACTAACAACATGTCTAGACTTTAAAGATTTGTTTTAATTAAAGTTATTATTGTTTAGGACACTAGTAGGTCTAATAACATAGACTTGTTAAATAATCAATTTTTATGTTCTTTGGAACTTAGAATACTTGTAAAAAAGATGTTTTTTAATATTGATGATGTCCAAGATAAGCAAAAGTCCAAGTGCTATGACTGTTTAAGTGACAATTTTTAAAAAAATATTTGGTAATAGGCATCTTTTTTATGAATTCTAAAATAAGTGTAGAATTTATATTTTTTTCTTAATTTAATTATAATTATTTAATTTTAGTTACAAAATATGAAATATTTGTTTTTTTTTATCTGTTTATTTTTATATCAATAAATTGCTGGATACCTAACTGGGCCACTCTAAATGACTTTTGTAGGTTTTCTAATTAATTTTTTTTACTGAAGTTATTAGAAGTGTACAGTTGAAACATACATGAATGATATGTTTGAAAAAATGTTTAACACATAAGTACTTCATATAGCAAGCCTTGACACTATTTTGTCTAGGCAAATCAGTATTGTTTGTCAAATCTTGTGTTCATTTTTGCACACATTTTGAAAAATAATTTTATTTTCACCAATCAAAGTATTCAACAAACTTACTCATGATTAAAGACTATAGCCAAAACTAGTTGTGTTTTTTAAATATTTTATTAGTGATGTTTCTAAGGTATTAAAGTTTATTAACTATATAAAAAACTAATGCATTTAAAAATGTCATGAAGTAATGCGTCACGTTCAGTAGTTTCAGTACAGTAGTCTTGTAGAAATTTATAAGGAGAAATCTAGGAAGTGCTATTAATTATATTTTTTATTGACTCGCAAAGTTAAAATATGATTGGGAAAAAGCAAGAATTAGACAATCATTTATTAATACTGTATAGGTTTAAGAGTTTTTTTTATAGTTTCTGTAAACATTCCTTTCAGTCCTTGTGAATTGTGAAAGTATTTGTGTGCTCAATGAAAGCTCAATGAAAAGACACAAGATAACTGTGGATAAGGTAGACTTGTACAGTTTAAAGATGGGTTGAATGTGTTAAAAAGAAAACTTTATTAGAAGTTTAACACAGTAACAAATGTACAGTGTATGGAAAAGATTTTGTCACCATCAAGTCATTTACCAATAGACAGAAATATATACAGTATGAAAGAAAAGTCACATGACTAAAGATTGCTTAAGTCTTAATAAAGGTATCTTGTTGATATTTTATTCTTTGTTTAAAATGATGGTGGTTTTAATAGACATACTATATTTGTAACCATTAGTTTCATTGTTTGTAACCATGAGTTTATTTATTATGTTCACCAAATAAAATAACATTGTCCTCAAATCAGATAAGTTTCCTGTTTACGGTGGTTGATTGTAAAATATTCTGATGTCTCTAATCTTTATTGAATGATGTTTGTCTTGAGTTTCATTGTTTATAATCATGAGTTTATTTATTATGGTCACCAAATAAAATAAAATAAAATTGTCCTCAAATCAGATAAGTTTCCTGTTTACGGTGGGTAGTTTCCTGTTTACGGTGGGTGATTGTAAAATATTCTGATGTCTCTAATCTTTATTGAATGTTATTTTATAGTTCTTCTTTTCAAACAATGTACATAAATATATTGGCTAACTGGCTGCTCAGTTATTTGTAATTGCAATCATGTACTAGTCAGTTAATCAAATGTAATTGATTAATGAGCCTGTTGATTCATCAGTTAGCAAGTATTACTGATTGCCCAGCTCTATCAAACAATGCTTGAATATACTTACTAAATTGGTTTCTCTTACATCAATTTGTTTCATCTCGGCATCTGAGGAATTATATAATTATTTTTTCATTAATTACTAATTAGATGAAATAAATCATACTTTATTTTTTCATTTTATTATTGTTCTTGATTAATGTAACAAAATAAGAAGTTTCTGTTGCTACTACTGCTGTAATACAACAGTAGGATCAGTTGTTTTCAGTAATGTAAGGATGATGCATGTGGGAATGTTTTAGATGTCAAGTTAGACCAAAATTTCATAAGTATCATCTTTGATGAATTGTGGTAAGCTAGGAGAGGATCCTATAGTGTACAATTGCTTACAAACTGTTTGTAAAGTGTAAATTTAAGACTTGAGAAGTGTGAAAGTGTAAGCTAAGCTTAGTATTTACAGATTAAGAGTATGCTTTGGGGTTATTAATATATTTTATTTCAAGCATCTTAATATCAATGATTGATGAAGTAGTGGGAAACAAGAAAAGTAATAACACTTGTGGCAAACATGTGGTTTTACCATTAGCAAATTATTGTGGTATATGATTCCTTTTTTCCAGAATTGGTTAAAGTAGTGTAATCTGGTAGGATACCTAAAAATAAGATAAGAAAAAGAAACAAGCTATATTACTATTATATTAATTAAAATTAATTCTATGAATGTTTTTCTTGACAACATCTTTATGTTGTATATGATATTTTATGTGGAATCTTCTCTGTGAATTACTAGTAATTTGCATTATACTCTATTTATTATGTGGTTTGTATGTTTTGATATATTCATTATTCGTGTGTCCAATCTATCATTTTTTAAGTATGTTTTTACTATATTGTATTCTAATTATATTTTTGCTGTTTTGAACTTTTGAGTATTATTCACATGTATTAGATTTAGTTTTGTGAGAAAAAAAACATGAATTTCTATTGTTTCCACAGAAGAAAAAGTTGAATTGTGTTAAAATAAGTCTCAAATTTTTGATTTACTTTCTTTTAAGCTTTATCCCTTGACATTGGGGAAAATAAAAACAGTGATGGAAATAAAAAGGATGAAGGTGGTGTGATGGATATGAACTCCAACTATTATACATATCAACGGACAGATGATGGGTAAGATTGTCCTGACTTGTAGAATCTATCACTGGGTGGTAATAATGAAAAAAAAGAATGTAACTCTATTAAACCTGTGCTTTCAGCCTGATAACAACTCTTTTTCAGGTTTTTTTGTTTTTATTTCTCTGAAGAAGGGCTGTTTTGAACCTGAAAGAACAGGCTTAATAAGTTTAGTTCATTTTATTATTACCATTTTGTTCAAATTGTGTAATTGAAACATAGTATTTAGTTCTTTTCTTATTTCATTTTTATTTTCTCCCTTACTTTGAACTTTCTGAGATGATAACTCATTCCCACACACAGAATAGTTATCTTTTTTCGTGCATCTGCGTATGAGATTTACACGCCACTAGTCTTGAAGTAACTTCCACCCAAATTCATGTATTTAACATGAAATGCATTGGTGCAAGATGACATCATGCAACAAAAGTCCAGTTGGAAGGTAACACAACCTGTCAATGCTTTCAGTCTTGTTCTTCTCTTCATCTCCTCCCCCAGGTCCTCACCTTGATACATGACACTTCTTGTTGGATCCTATTGTTGGCATCTCTTTGGCCAGCTCAGTCTTGGTTTTCTTTGCATAGCATCCAGACCCCCCCCCCCTTTCCTCTACTCAATATCCTCTCTATTACTTCAACCACACATGTTTCTTTTTAATTGAGAGATATCATCCCTCCATCTTCACATGTAGGATTTGTCTGGTCTGTTGCCAATCATGACCATACTGTCTGATCATGTGGCATTCTTCTTGTTACATTCCTGTCACCCTTCCACTGTGTCTGTCTTTCAATAAAAGTGGCAGGTCTTTTATCTTTGGTTCACTTGCCACTTTTCTCCTGACTATTGGTCCATATTTTGTTGATCTCTACCATTTCCAGATACCTGGTGTAACAGGGTATTTGTTTATTTCCCATGTTCTATCCACTGTGTTCTGCTCCTTTTTTTCCAATCCTTTCATCCACTTTTCATGCCCGACTGGGACCTTACTGTGGTCTTGCATGCTTTGATGTCCCCCCCTCCCCTTAAGCCATTGGCTTCTTGTTCTTTGTATCATCTTTCTCTTCAGACTTATTTCTTCCCCCTCACCTGTGATTGCTATCATTTGGATGTCTATGCTATTGATGCTTCTCACACCCTTTTACACTGCACTTATATACTCCTTTCCTTTGACTGATCTTTCCTTCTGAAGGCTTCTACCACTTAGGAGGACAACTGTACTTTCTTTCATACATCCCTTCCTTCTGTCTTTCACCTATATGATTGGTTGGACCTGGATTGACTCCTGTATCCTGTTTGATGTTATTTATCAAGAACTTCTCCCTTTTGGGGTCTCCATCATTGTCTGTTCCTACCCTTGGACCCCTCTTCTTACTGGGACCTCTCTCCTTTTACCATTAGTGGGTGGAACTGGCAACTCCTCTGATTGGTATTTTTGTCTTTGGATATGGATGCTCACATGCTATTTCACCTTTCTTCATATTTGATTTATTACCTGACTCGTTCTCTTGCTTCCCATTTTCGCCAGCTTTTGGATGAGATCCTCCTGGTGTGCATGTGGACAATTGTCGTCACTTTCATCACTTATCTTCACCATCTGGCTGTTTTGACTTTTACTAGCTACCATTTTTCAGTCAATCTACCATCTTTTAGAAGAGTAAGTACGTTTTCTTTTTCAGCTCTCCGTTACACTTAAGATTGTACCAGGTGGCTGGTTTTGCCTCCCAGGATATACTTATCCAACATCCACATCAAGCCAGGATAATGGAAAGCACTCATACCATCTGCTCTGGCCCTACCAGTCCTTACTGCAAGATAGGATGTTCCATAAGACCACTTGAGGTCTTCTCTTGGTATACATATTTATTCAGTTGTCTGATCCAGACTGTACCTATTCCATGGACTATGATGGAAAAAGCCAGCACCAGGGAAGTGCTTTGCCCACTTCCATGGTTTGTGCTACCTGGCTTTTAAAAATATGGTTTCATGTTCATTCTTTGCTCTGTCTCCAGTAAAAGAACTTCCTGGCTAATGGTCCAATGGGCATCCAGGAACTTTTCTGGATCTCACCAATGTGAATTCTTCCCCCCTTTTTTTTTATCAAGTGGAGCACAGGAGATTCTTACTAGTTACCAGTTCCTAGCCACTGGGTTGGTGTACCATAGAGAATCCTCACTAGTTGGGCTTAGCACAATATTATGAGAAGTGGAGTGATGGTGTCAGTGTAGTGCTGGTCACCCCTCAAAGAACAAAAAATATATCTATTTTGCCCTCCAGCAGCCAGAGTTTGTTCAATAGAGTTGAATGAGCACACAAGATGCAGTCTGAACATGCTCCAACCATGCTACACATTTGCTATCTTACTGCTTGTTTTCATGGTCATGTTCTCATTTCACCCATCCCTGCAGCACATGGGGCTCACTTCTCCCCCCCCCCCCCACCACACACACATTTTGGGTTAGTCTCCTATGGATGTGTCCCTATGGAGCCTCTGCCATTGGGTGTCACATTCCATGTGCTTTCCTTTGGATGCTTTCTGAAGGGAGCTCATCTAGGTAAAATTTTACACTGGTTCCTCTACCATTAGAACCTCAATGTAGGGTTCTAGCTTTTTGGTGTGAGGAGGTGGGTTATCATCTCTGAAGTTAACATTTCCTAATCTGAAGATGTACATTCTCATACATTTTGTTTTTGTCTTGCCTCATCTAATAATGAAGTTATCATGAGTGCATGTGCATAGAGGGAGTTACTGTGCATGGAGGTTGTGTTTCCCTTCTATTGGTGGAGGTTTTTTTTTCCATAATTATGTCATCATGCACCAGGTTAAACATGTGAATTTAGGTGGGAGTTACTTCAAGGCTAGTGGTATGCAAATCTCATAGGCATGTGCATGAGGAAGTGAGGCAAGTATCTGTCAGAAACAAATTTTCATATTAGGAAAATGTTAACTTTGAAGTAGTAATGGATAATAGCTAAAATGAATCATAATTAATAAAGATCTGTTCTCTTAACACTAATATATGGTAGTGTTAAAAACAAACATGAATAGAGGTTAGTGGTACTGAATGAGGAATATATTTTCGTTGAGTTAGTTAAAGATTAATGATTGTCAGTTGGAATTATATTTTCACCAGACTACATACAGGTTAGAGATAATATATTGGGATTATATTTTTTACTAAACTACATGCAAACAAATGTTTATTTATTAAGATATTTTAAGATATATATTTTCACCGAACTAGGTATTGGTTAGTGATAATAGATTAAGATTGTATTCTAACATATACATGGATATACATGGCATGTTAGTAAAACATTGTAATTTACTGTAAGATATACTAGTCCATTTATTGGATATACATGGCATTGTTAGTAAAACATTGTAATTTACTGTAAGATATACTAGTCCATTTATTGGATATACATGGCATTGTTAGTAAAACATTGTAATTTACTGTAAGATATACTAGTCCATTTATTGGATATACATGGCATTGTTAGTAAAACATTGTAATTTACTGTAAGATATACTAGTCCATTTATTGGATATACATGGCATTGTTAGTAAAACCTTGTAATTTACAGTTAGATATACTAGTCCATTTATTGGATTTACATGGCATTGTTAGTAAAACATTGTAATTTACAGTTAGATCTACTAGTCCAT